AGATAGATAGATAGGTAGTTAGATAGATAGATAGATAGATAGATAGGTAGATAGATAGATAGATAGATAGATTAGATAGATAGATAGATAGATAGATTAGATAGATAGATAGATAGATAGATTAGATAGATAGATAGATAGATAGATTAGATAGATAGATAGATAGATAGATTAGATAGATAGATAGATAGATAGATTAGATAGATAGATAGATAGATAGATTAGATAGATAGATAGATAGATAGATTAGATAGATAGATAGATAGATAGATTAGATAGATAGATAGATAGATAGATTAGATTGATAGATAGATAGATAGATAGATAGATAATTATGCAAGTGTACTCAGGAATGGGTCTACAGCAAGTGCGCTGCTAATGGAACTTGGGTTCCTTAATGCGGATGTCGATTGTTGAGAAGTTACGTTTAGCCAAAAAGTGGTTTCTGTTTGAAACTGCAAATGAATCACTCCGATTTATAAGCTCATTTTACCAGTTTATTCATACTTGCCCATATATATATAATCTTTTGGTAAGCAGTCTGTGGATTTCGACGCTCAGAGTAGCAGCCATAAGGAGGACACTTTGTGCGTGACACAACATTCGCTTCTTCCAGTCCGTCACTAACCTGTTTCAGCGACTTCGGCTGCCTTAAGGAAAACAATTCGATCGGAGAAACACTTGAACATTTCCCATCAATGTCACCTTCCGGGGTTGAAAGTAGTCTGATTAACTTCAAAATGATGTTCATCAGCCTCCTAAAAACAGACCATCAGGTTTTTTCATGATAAACGTCTAGAGTAGTTCGGGTGATAACAAAATCTGCATCACACAGAAACTGTTTACGTCCAAACCCACTGGATCTTTGCTTCATCTTTTTCCACAGACGTTTTGACAAAATTCGCCCGTGACTCATTTCTTTCGTATAGATAATCTAATCACACATTATACTAAAAATGTAATAAACTTCAACTTTTCCTCATGAATACGGTGACGTTCGTAACTAAGTTAATTTGGACAGGTAGATAATTCGTGGTCGTAATCGAATCAAATTGCTGCCACCTATTTTCCACATTATCGGCGTTGTTACATCGCTCCGGTAAGGACAGTTGAATGCCCTAGAGACCTCGGTCATATCTGTGTTAAGCTATTTTCATTTTTGGTTGCTCACACATACTCTAGAAGGATTGGAAGGTGTTCGTTTCGTTCAACGCGCAGTTGCGATCCCACCGACGCGTACTGGGATAATCTTCTTCGGGAAGAAACAATCAAAAATTAACAGGATTGGTCGCACAAACTAAACAACAAGTGAGTCAATCAAATCACAGCTATGAAAACAGTCGTACTAAATGACGTGACGAGAAGACGTAATACACTACTCATAAGGTTGCAGAAAACTCTTCGGCAGCCCATGACCGGGGCTCATTAGGCAGGCTCAGTCCCTGGGTTTCCGTCAACAGTATGTTCTAATTGAACCCAAATTGTACAAAATCAGCGAAATGCACTCATTTGTAAACAAATTTGGTGTTGCGAGAGATTCACCTTTCGTTTATAATGTTTTGGGGTTTTGTGCAACAGGCGTTGTCAAATTGCTAAATACTCACTTTCTGGCGTTTTGGAATTCATATTTTATGTTCGACTAGAAATCTTTGACACGAATCATCGACGAGCAGAATTATCAGGAAGCTCAGCTTCCTGAAAGCAGCCACTGAATGCCCGAAATCTACAGGGACTCTCAGCTCCGCTAGATGTTGACCAGACAGACAACGCCCCCGCAATATGCAGCTCCTTTCAGCCTTGTTCAAACCCAGGCAGCGAGTCAGCGCTGATCAGGGTCAGACAATGCCCCCGCAATATGCAGCACGTCGCAGCCAGACCGTGTGCGTCAGCATTGGACCGAGTTCAGACAATGTCCCTCCAATAAATAGCCTGGGACCGTTGTGTATTCGCACTCGCACTCGCTTGTTCGTAATATAACTGTTGTGATCCCTTCTTTGAGTCTTTTTTCTCCGGCACTAGGCACTGGAGCGAGTCAGCAGCAGCTACCACAGATTGGCGAATCAGCAGATATAACAGAGGCAAACCGATTTCACGGATGTGTAGTAGAATTGGGAGAACTCCCGTTAAAAAGTGAACTGGTTCAAGAAAACACAGATTATGGAAGTTGGCTATCACGAAAAGAAATACCTGATTCTTTCCGAATCTCGATAGTGCTAATATCTCGCCTTGTACGCTGTACAGTTTACACGGAGGCCTCATATGAGCTTTTTATGTCGTCGTAGCAAGCGCCAGTCAGATGCAGACCAAACGGTTGACTGAGCGGATTTCGAAGTAACATATTACACATCAGACTTTCCAGGTCTTCTTGTTTGAGAACTAGCTCACTTCATAATATCTGTTTTCTTCCCTATAATAGTTTGGTATACAACTACTAATAATAGCAACAATAAACATCCTGTCTACTAAAGGGATGGACACCGCCAAAAACCGAAAGAACTTGGTTCATGACTTATCCCATAGTTTTAGAATACCGAAGGCGTTAAAGCATCTGTGGGGACTGTCGGGAAGGTCAGGTTTCCCGAAAATAACTCCAGAATGGATGAAACCTACTGAGAGTCTAAAATTCCATCAAAATCTCAATGAAGAGGCCGGCAAGCATCCGAATTAGTCAGTCACTCAGCAAAAGCCGATGAGTGTTCAAGCACGCCACAGAAGCACGACCGAATATGATCAGTGTTCAGATATTCCATGAAGCACGGTCGACGCTGGTCGGTGTTCACTATACGCCGATTGGACAGCCTGGATCAATTTCAACAAGTGCCTTTTAAATAGTGTGAGGCCTTTGTAACTTTTGTTCTTGCTTGTTGCAACAAAGCTCTTGTGTTCCTTGTCAGTGTGTCTTTTTCCGGCACTAGGCACCGGAGCCGGGACAGCAGTTAGATATAACAGGGATGGCAAAACACGGGGGACAAAATGGAACGAGTACAGACGCTGAAATACACTAATCATTGAAAAAACGAATGCTCACTATTGAAAGGAGTGCAAAGCCTCGAAAATATTAGGGTTTAATTCATGGAACCTAAGCTTGACAGAGTAGAAAATCGCTGGCTAGATCCGGTTGGTCGTACTAAGCTAATAAGAAAAGTTATAGTTGTAGAGAGAAGGGACTGTCTGGAGGAATCAAAACGCTCCGAATTATCGCTAGTCCGTTGGTTAAACTGACATATGTGGATGGGAGTTCCAGGTAGCCCAGCGATTAAGGCGAGAACTTACTGACCGGAAGGTGTGTGGTTCGAACCCAACCCTTGCACCTCGATTGCTTCTGTCTGGGCCTGAGCAACTCCACAGTATCACAATCCTCGTGTTTCCTTAAGGTAGTGTGACAGTTGGGTACTGAAAGAATGTTGAGGCTGAACTAGTATAGATGTAGAAAAAGGATGGGACCGTTGTATCTGAACTAGAAAGTGCAATGATTGTAGTCAACCAAGACTACTTTGGAGTTGATTGCAGACGAACCTTCGCCATCTTGTATGGAACGGATAGGATACAGGGAGCTTCTGCGAATTTGTAAGCGGTACTGTGTAGCAATTTGGTGAAAATTAATGAACAACCTGCTACCACTCCGAAAAAAATCGTTCAGCTGTAGCACCGTTTCGGTGCCTAACTGCCACCCGAAGGGAGCATGAGGGTTGTCATACTGTCAGTTTGCCCAAACCTAGACAGGATAACGTCAGGATGTAACGGTCGCGTTCGAACCACGGACCTTCCGGTCAGTAAATTCGTGCTCTAACCACCGAGCTATCCCCCCCCCCCCCCATCTGAATCAGAATTGACAGGACAGAGTTGGTGCTGCCTTGCGAGAAGAAATAACCATACAAGGAGTTGATAAAATATCAAGATAACAAACGGATAAATGGTGCAACGAACATGATGGATGGATCGAACTATCACACGCGAATGTAGGGGTATTGTTTACCATTACAATACCCGATGTCGCATTTGTTTCCACCTGGCCTGTCATGATCGAACCGAATGACCAGCCTGATTTTGTGCGTAACCTGAATCTACAACACTCAGGTTACGGATTCGCGTACATAACTATATTGGAGCCAAAGGCTCACCTCTAAAAAATTACAAGTACAGCAGATCAAACGATGTATGTAGGCAATCAGACCCATAGAGCATCACCAGATGAGCGCCAATCTTAGAGTGGGACAACTGAAAATAAATCTGTCCTATAATTTCACAGTCAGTTTGGAGAATTCGCATTTCAGCGAGGCACAGAATCACACAGACCCCAAGGAGGCCTGTATTGATCAAAACAAACGTAGCGTTCTGTGAGCAGTGCTCCGTGAAGGAAATCCGGCATTCAGGTGATCACATAAACTGAAGGAAGTATACCATTTCGAATTCAAACGAAGAAATTATAATTCCACGAACAGAATTAATCAACTGAAGGGTGCGAATGAGCACTTGGAGTGCAATGAAACCAATCACGTTGCTGTCATGCACCACTCACAGATCGGTCCTTGTCGTGTAAAACTGACCACTTGTAAGTATGAAGCTCATTTCCGAACGCAGGGCATTCTCGTGGGAATAGGGAAACCAGTAGAAACAAAAAAAACCCAGCACTGACTGTACAAAGCATCAACCAAACGTGGCTGAACAGTACTGAAGTGTCGGTCACGAGTTAGAATTGCTTACCAGATGGCTATCCTAGGCAGAACAAAACAAGAAAATACGTAGGGTCAATCGATTTCGAAGCTGAAAACAAACAGTTTAACTGCTGGGTCAATGTTCCGTTTATCTGTACTCACGACAACAATGAATGCACGTCCACATCGGTATAAAGCGTATAGTTCTGCTGGATAAAGCGGGAATACAGAATGTGGATGTTTAGTCTTGGTCGAATTCTCAAAATCGCTGGTACTAGAGATTAGATGTGTACTTTGCTCTATCATCGTCAAAACATTCCGGCGGTGGTGAACAGCAACACAACCACACCATCTTACAGAATGACGATCGGAACAGAGGAACAGTGCAACTTGAGTCTGTCCGCATTGTCCTTGTACGTACACAGTCGAAGAATTTTGTGTGAATATGAGAAGACTTCTGTGTGTAAGAGAGATGATGATTACTTGGATGCGTTTCTCATCCAAGTGGCTGCAATTCACGTGTCCAATGGGAGAAATGACTCGAATTTAAGACTACAAGTCAACTGCCTGTGCGTGCGGCACTTGACAAGAGGCTTCTTGTAAGAGTCGTTTCGGTAATACGCTAAGATTATTCAGACAGTCAGTGATGTTAACTGATCTGAATCGTTCGTGTTTTCTTCATAAGGAACATTTTAACGGAGAATGGTTTCAGCCGAACTTGTCGTGCTTGTTTAGTAGCAAGTTGTGAACACACATCAACTGGCGTCTTGTCGCTTGGCTTATAAGTGAGAGTGAGACCTTTCGAACTAAACGAGGGACTTAACTATAAGGTTGCAAGGAACATTTTAACGGAGAATGGTTTCAGCCGAACTTGTCGTGCTTGTTTAGTAGCAAGTTGTGAACACACATCAACTGGCGTCTTGTCGCTTGGCTTATAAGTGAGAGTGAGACCTTTCGAACTAAACGAGGGACTTAACTCATAAGGTTGCTTGAAAAAAAAACCGGTTTCACCCTTCTTAAGTCTGATTGGGTAGGCGCATTACCCTAGTTTCTACCAGCTTTCTGTTCTACTTTACGTTTGATTGTCAGTTGACTGAGTGAACACAGTGGTTTAACTATACAAAAGCGTCAGTTTGTCTCTGAAGCACTCGCTGTAGGTATTTTAGGGATTTGTTTGAATAATCTTTCCCCTGTCTTGGTGCAACAATTCTAGTGATCCCACACCAACGGGCGGGGGAGCACCGGAATCGAGTTTCGTTCTTATAAGAGCTCATCAGCAGTGCCTACCCTTCCGACAGCTGAACTCCAAACATCCGATATGCGAGCTGAGTGTGCTGCCACTACTTCGCCAGCGTACGCTAGGTGCATCTGACTTACTACATCTGAACAGATGAACTTGTTCACTCTTGACCAATGTGCCTGATTCGCTCCATGCCTCGGATAACGACCTGTTGACCATCTTGGTTATATCGATTGACCGACCCGCCTATCAGAAATTCCCGCGCGATAAAGTGCCACCGATGATCGAAATCGGCTGGACAAATCTTGATTTGTTGTAAGTGTTTGTGGGATTGGTATAATTCACTTTCAAATCACTCTCGTTCGATCTGTCGTCATCCTGTCTTGGCGTAACTGTTCTGATGAGTCCACAGCAAAAAAGAAGCACCGGACACACGTTTTGCTCTTATTACGCACACAAACTGATGCAAGTGCGCGTACAGAATAAATTTATCTCAAATCCTCTTGAAAAATTCAAGAGGTGACACGTAAAGTCACTCAAACTGTAGCACCCATTCGGTGCCTAGTAGCCAGGCCACCCGAAGGTTGCACGAGGGCTGAGAGACTGCCAGATTGCCCAAGACTAGACAGGGAAATCGAGAGGCACAGGTCGGGTTCGAACCACTGACCTTCCGGTCAGTAAATTCGCGCTCTAACCACTTGGGCCATCTCGCTCAAGTATACATAACAGCATCCATTTCGGTCCCTCACCGTGCAGCCGAGCACCCACCATCGGGTCTGTCTTACCTCTGTGTTAAACAAACTATTTTTTGTCTGCTTGGAGTGCGCGTCAAGCGGCCTTTTCTCACATTCAACACGAACTCACGACTGATCTATTGTGTCGGCCCATTATAGCCCTCGTAATTCCGATCACTGTGGGAGTCAATGCTTCCGGATATGGCATATGTGTGATCCTACTGCACTAACCCAGTGGCTCAAAATGGTTGCCTGCCATGTTCTTCACTCTCCTCAAGGGAGAATAATCACAACCGAATCGAAAAGGAAGCGTTGCTTTTGTTTTCGGCTGCGTAAAAATTCACAGAATGCCTCAAGTCCAGCATTTTGTGCTCTCGACAGACCACAATCCATCGTTTTGACAATCCTCGGATTGTATTAACTCCATCCGATTGTGTGCTGCCAATCGCCGCAGCACCGAGCCACCAGGTTACTGGGCTACTGGATTACTATTTTAACGTAGCCGTGCCTATATGACATCACATCATGACTGGCATTTGAGTACCATTCAGCCACCTCGGACTAATGCAGTCCGACCAGTTTCCACGGCTTCGATTTTGGTTCCACTCGTCTCTTCATTCCCATGAGAGTGTCCTGTTTGCACCATGATAGGAAAAACAGTTCGATCTCATCCAAGTGGTCTGTTTTACATGACGAGAACTAATCGGTGAATCGTGCGTGACCTCAGCGTGATTGGCTTCCCTACAATTGAAATGACTAATCGTGTCCTTCAATTGATTATTTCTCTTTTGCATCCCTGTTATTGAAATTATTACTCGTTCTTTTTCGTCATTATCATCGGTACCACAACATCAGTGTTCGACACTGATGATTCACCGCCAAACAACCAAACGAAGAGAAGAGAAAACTGGATGGGGCTGAATGGTTCATGGTTCGAACCCAACCCCGGCATCTCGACTGCTCTTGCCCCGACTTGGGCAACCTGGCACTATCCCAGCCTTTGTACTTCCTTCGGGAGATATGGCAACCAAGCATCGAAGGGATATCACGGTTGAAAGGTTTTACTGAATACATGCTTCGTCCCTACCCGCCTTTATTGTTCACCTCATGAAGCCTATAAGACGGGATTGAAATCATCAGCATTTGTCCAAGGGATTCAACATCGAAATCATCCACCTAGAGGTTACCTTACTGACAAATGTATAAAGAGAATCATCACCTGGTTGATGTTCCATATCCCGTGTCTTCCACGCTGTCTGACTGGGGGTATCTGTCGTTTTAGTGTATTTTTGAATTCCCTGTTAGTTATTTTTTGTTCTCTTTCTTCCCATTCACCAAAGAAACTATATACGCCGCAAGAATGTCACAGCGGAGTTTTCAACTTCCCACATTCTAATACTTTTGTCTTGTTTTAATTTATTCTATCGATTTTTGTGAACAAGAATCATCCTTTCACGTCAGGTCCTCCGGTCCCCCCCCCCAAAGACACACGTGCTGATTCGTTCTGATTACTGAACAATGAATGCGCACCAAAGTTGATCAGAAAAACTGGAACTACTGATACAAACCAGTTGTGCTTTTTTCGAGTCTGTATAGTTTCTGGGTCCCATGACTTGTTTCACATTCCCTGTCTGTCCAAATAAGTCAACATGAAGCTGTCTCGGGTCTACTCATCCGGCTTTCTTGTGAACATTACTCAAAGCACTTGTACAACACGCAGAGCATCTACACAGGGAGAATCTGTGCTGTCCGGTCCAAGTAAACTTGACCGTTATTCCCGCGATGTGGCATGCACGTGTCCCTTCGTCATCCGGTGGACGATCAATGGGTTTGGCCAATTAGCGGCCCGGTTAGCTTCAGTTTTTTGCCGAACTGGTTTCGCGTAAAGGAGCCGGGTTCATGAAGCCAGATGGATACCTCTACTGGAACAGCGGGAACTGGAGTTTGTGTACAACTCAAGTGGTTTGCCGAGATTCGGCACACCGCCTAAGAAACGACAGTACATAGCGGTTGAACTGGGATTGAATTTTTACTTCTGGAGGCTTACCAAACTGGAGAGCTTCCACGGACTCTTTATACGAACAATACATAATGTCCTGCGTAGGCGTTCGAATGAATACTCATGAAAAAGTATAACATTCTCACCTAATAGAGTAATTGAATTAGCGGTCGGTCAGAAGATAATCCGTGAAAACACTGCTAGATAAGTTGATTGGATACCTCATCCGCACCTCTATGTTATACGTTCAACGGCGTGATCACCATTCAATAGTAGACGGTTTTAAATCAATTTCTCTTCAAGCGAAATTAATTTCGGTCTGGCTCTTATCGATCATAGTTTTCTTTGTACAGAACGGATCGGGTATTCGGTCAGGTCCCCTAAGTGTTGTAACTCCATTCTTCTCACGCCGTACGAGAAAATCTTCATTAATGTATCCGTCAAAAATTGTGTAATATTTCTCCTTTAGTTTTAGGGAAGGAATCTCCCAAAGTGAACACATACTCTCCATTCCACGTCTGTTTTCTGTGAACCGTGTCATTTCAAAGTCCAGATACAGTTCTGGCTAGCTAACTCTGGCGCGAACTTGATGATCGAGTGTGAGCTCAACTCAGTTCGACTGGAGTGAAAACAATCAGCCCATGGGCATAGCGCCTACAGAAAATCAGTTTTCCAAGAACAGAATTCAGTTGATGTCCTTCAAGCTTACCATGAATAAATATATCAGCCAGCAGGAAACTAAATCGAGATCTCATGACAGGGCCGTCTTCCGTTCATAGAACTTATTGTTGAATTGGAACAAAAAAAAATCAAAAAATCTTTCAGACTACCCTTTGGGATACCAGTGTCTAGCCTCAGTGCAATGACGTGGGTAATCTTCTGTTTTCCAAAGTGGTATACAGGCAAAAGTGACGTGACATTAAGTCAAAACAGCTGTTGTCTGGTTGCGCTTAGCTCAACAGGCTGGGAAGTGCTACCGAGTTTGTGTTTCGCATTGACATACCTAACAGGCACTAGATCCGGTTCGGTTACTCTCTATGTGATTGATTCCAATCATACTTGTCTTCATGTCACGGCCTCTCAGATGGCAAATCAGTCGACATCTCATTATTCTAATGACAATCCCGAGTGTATTCGACCGTCTGAAACAAATTAGGTTGGACTTAGTAGTCAACGCGGGCTCACGTGACCCTCTCGCCGTCATGACATCGTACAGTGCATAGCTCCTTTTCCAACCCCTCTTACTTGAAAGCCGACTGACAGTGCTGGATTTATGCCCTAATTTACCATCTCCTCCCTGCAATGCGCAGCTACCTAACCCCCCCCAAATCATCGGTGAACGAAACTGCGGCAGCTACAACCACTGTACGACGAGTACGCGGTTATTACAGTTGACAATGATAATGCTGATGATGACGATGATGATGATGATGATGATGATGATGATGATGATGATGATGACAATGGTGTTAAAACCGAGTCCGACAAGAGGACGTCTCGGGTGAACGGAGTTCAGCGATTGAAAAACGTTAGAGTTCCCAATTTATGAGGAAGGATTGCTTTTGTTTAGGAGTGTAACTGAATGCGTAAGCTTACATACATACCGATTCAAGGACCGGAATGCAATGACCGTAATTTGATGGACGCACTGTGGGGGTCCGTGGATATCAGCACAGTTACAAATGGCATATAAAACCTAATAAGATTACACAATAGGTTGCTTTCACATCCGCAGCTGTGACAGTCAGTCGCCTGATATCGACCTAGACGTGAAATCTGGGTTCTTTGTCTGTCTCCATCAAACGTGCCAAATCAGAAGGAAGTCCATGTTATTGGGACTCAAACACATCAGAGGCTTGATCGATTTTCGGAGACCCAAGCGTCTTATCTGCTCAATTTTTCTGCGCCCTCATTCTCTCATCAGTTAGCTTGACTGTGTATGACAAATCGTTGCAGACGAGTCGTTTCCTTCACACACCACAGCCAGATGAAAAATAATGAGCGAGCTGGAAGCGTGTTTTCAACCGTGACCACAGATCGCATGTCTAGACAAATGACACAGTTGTGTAGTAGGTCACGTGAGTCCGCGAAACTGAGGGTCATCCTGTGTCGGTAACAGCCATGCAGTCTGGAAAAGCTCTAGCCAGTCCAAATGAAGGCGAAACGTGATGTGGGGTCAAGTCAGCAGTTTGATGAATCACTTATTCCAAATATAGCGCTGTGGACATACCTCACATCTACTCGTCATCCTCCTCAGATTCCACAGACCTTTTGTCACCATTTGCTTCTACAGGAGCTGCTAAAAGATCGATCTCTCTGTGGGCAAAACACCAACGCGGTTGTTTTACGATGAAAAACTCACAGTCGCATCACACTTCAAGAATGAGCCAAACGTCGGGTGGTCTTTCTTGAAACAGATCGCCCTGAAGATGAGAAACGAGTCATTCAAGGTCCTCATCGTCATGGAAATTCTTTTGGTTTCATGTGAATTCAGATGCGACATTTTATAAACTCCGAACTGGAGTAAACACAGGTTTCGTGCACCTTAAAACTCCCGAACAAGGAATTACTGATAAAATACACGCCTGAGGCGCCCAACGATAGCTCTGTTACACTCATGGAGCAAAAAGTTACCTTGCACACGTGACCGACGAATATTTACTGCCACCCCGTCACGTTGAGTGAAAAGGAACTAAGCACTGCGGTTCATCGAGAAACTATACGGAGTGGAAAATAAACCAGAAGAAAAAAGGATCGACCCGAACCGATTGAAAATTTACAACGTCGATTGCCACCAGATGTTCTTGCTTAGAACGGCGCATCAGTGAAGCACAAGTGGCGGTTCGGAAGATATCTGCCCAGCCTCAAAGTGTAAGTGTAGAAATTTTATACGAATTATCCATCAGGAAGGTAGACACAAGGCTAAAAGAAGAGGGCGTCACCACAACCGGATATGACGGGATGGGAATTGTATTAACCGACTGAACGCAAGTGTCTATACTTGACTGGAAACTCGCTGATATTCACCACTGCGCGGCTTATTCGACAACGTTTTTGAAAGAATCTCGATAAAATGAGGTCCATTGCTCTCTGATTATTGTGTCCGCTTTCAAAAACTACTGTAGCTCCAAATGTACTAAAAGCAGTTTTTATGACATTTACATTTTTTAAACGGGCTAAAAGCTCAGATATCGTTCTGGTTGCTGATGACATGAGTGCTGAAGTAGGTAGACCCGACTGGGTGTTCGAGGTGCATGGACAATGGAGATTTCCTGCTTCATAGACTGCTCCTTTGCAGTATCAATTTCAGGAACAGCGAAAATCACCTGGCCATCAGCGAACCAGTCGCCGACTCTTAATGAACCAAATCATCATCAGTTACAGATGGCAAGGGTTCATCAATACATATTGGTCCTTCAGGTCTACCTGAATAGACTTCGATCATACGTTTTCCCGCTGCTGCTTTTTGTTGAGCTTTTCAGACCTACACAAAACGCACACACCTCACTCAACATTGTAAACGGAAATCAAACGAAACTTCTCAAACCCGCTACTCGAACGCTAGCCGGAATGCCCGATGTCGGATATAAACGGTCACTGGAAAAAGATATCCAAAGTGCTATTCAGATCTCTGTTTGCGGTACAACCCAATCACCCTCGTCCAAACATTGGATCTCTGGTAGGACCATGTCATCGCTGGACTCCCGGTAACAGATCCTCCCTGGCTGCAACCACAGCTCCGTCCGGCACATCATCCGACGCCAGGTGAAACTGAGTGTCCGTGCGGAACCGAAAGGCAGAAGAAATGGAAGGTGCGAAAAACGCCAGAAACGTCCACAGGCTGTTTCACTTGATTCGTTCAACTTTTCCTTGGAAACCTCTTGTTAGCAAAAACCTTTTGGCGCGTTGGGCAAAGCACCTTCAACAACGGGCCACTTTCGGCCACTTGCTACTTCAAATCCGGACTACTGGCCTTCAACAGAAAAGCGAGCCGCGAATATGGAGCCCCTTCAGACGTGCACAAGCTTTATCTGGTCCTAACGACCTTCCGCATGCTCTGTTCAAAGACGGCGGTGGATCCTTCAGCCAGTGCTTTTCTAGCCTATTTGCATCTACATGGTGGAAGGAGACCGTCCCAGACAAATGGAGTGAGTCAATAATGGTGCCATTTTTTTAAAAAAAGGTAGAAACTACGACTATGCTAGTTTGACTTCCGCTGTGACAAGGCTGCTGGCGTCACTGGTTCTTCGTCGGCTTACAGCGGCACGCGAATCCTTGACCCGTGAGCATCAAGAAGGATTTCGACCGGGTAGATACTGCGTCGACCACATATTCGTACCCCATCAGGTGTACAGAAGGCTCACAATCTTGTTGTTTCTTGACATCAAGGGTGCGTTGGATTCTGTCGATCGGTCAGTGCGGTTTACCAGATTTGTCCAACAGGATATCCCGGAAGTTCGAGCAGAATCCTTTCCCCATTTTCACATACCTCTGGGCGTGTGAGAGTGCATGGTGAGCTCGCTGACACCTTCCCTACAAAAAGTAGGGTCCGACAATGATAACCACTCTTCATTCTCGTTCACATTCGTCGGCGACGAAATAATGAGGCAAACGCTGAAAGGTCTTCAACGCCTCTGTATTTAAATTATTGCTGGTGAGAAGCTTATCGATCTGTAGTACTCAGACTACATTGCCGTTACCTTTCAGAACGAAGGCTCAGCACAAAAACTTCGTTGAACTGACTGACCACTAGCATGCCATCTTTCCGCACTCTCCTTGCAACTTTAAGGCACTAAACCATACTTCAGAACAGTTTGATGAAATGTCCGAGCAAGTTCCTTTGAGGCAACAGGAACGGGTATTTTCATGAAGAAAGTAGGGACCCACGTAGAAAATGCTCATTAAATATCAGAAGTAGAGGTGACGCAGAACACCTCTTGTAGGTTATTAAATCATTCTGTGCGAACATAAAATTTACTTGCGAATAAGTGGTTCAGGACAGACTTGCTTTCCTTAGGTGTGTAACTAACCTGTACTGACAGCTCAATACGGTGCTCAGCCTAGAGAAAATTCACTGGGACTGGTCGGGACATTATACAGTCAAGCGAACGCAATAGGTACTTCGGAAGCCCTATCAACGGCGTTCACAAGAATTTTGCAACAGAACAATAACACGGAAAAATTATCAGGCGCCATAGCACGGCACAGTCCAAAACGAAACTGAGTCCTGGTGTGAAGCTCTCTGTCAGGAGCGATGTTCTCCCAGAATCAATAAAACCAAGACTGAGAACCTCCCCAAAGAAAGTATATTAAGCCACTCAAACCATAGTTCACACACACACACACACACACACACACACACACATAAGCGTACCATTTCAGACAGAGAAAAAATGTGCCCGTCGTCTCATCTTTACACTCTGTCTAACGCTCTATCCATTGCTGCCGTGAAATCTGTTTGGTACCAAACCACTTCCATCTTTGGCTGCTGAATAAGGTCACTGGACGGAAAACTGGTCGAACTCGGCCACAACCAACCACTAGGCGCGTCATCGAAACTGCCCATTAGGTTAAAATCAATTGAATGCTTCCCATTCCATTGCGATGCCATAAATTGTTATCACTCAGGCTTATTTGAGACTTTATTGATTACTCGTTATAGGCCACTGTTTTCCACTAAGATTTATTTGGCTGCCACATTATGTTGAGTTTGACTCGTGTGAGTGAGTGGAGTTCACCTAACATTACGCGTTTGGCTTAGAGGAAATGTGCCTTCTTTTTTGGCCTGTGTTACAGATTTTGCGACCGACGCGAAACGATTTCATCTAGCATCTTTTTTCTTTGTGAGTTCTCTCAAATGGGTAAAAGGGTACAGTGACATGAATTGGCCAGTCCGATCTGCCTCACCAGCAGTATATTCCTCTGTTGATCTGTTGTCGTGTTGACCAGCCACTTGCTAACTTGTCAATTCATCATAATCGGAAAGAGTATTTTGTACTGGAAGGCCAGAGCTTCTTCTACGATATTTCTTGTAGCTTTCTGGGGTAGGGGTCCAGTATGTTGGGATGAAATGTTGAGGTGTACACCAAATTTGCAAGTCGAAGAGTTTCCAGCAACCTTGTGAGTAGTTTCCTTTATGAAAATATACTCCGATATCTCGAATATCGTGCCAACTGAAACATGAGGCGGCCTGTGTGCAGCACATTCAGCTGTTGAATATCGTAAACGAGAGATTCAGTTGAGTTCCTCATGAAAACCAAATTAAATTTGCAAATTAGTGTATTTCTCGGAAACAGTCCAATTTTGGTTCAAGTAAGGTTGACGGAAACTCGGGGGTTGCGCCTACCTGATGAACCCGAAACAGAAGGGCGAAACCAGTCATGAGCAACCTTGTGAACCTTTATGAAATGTTGAGGTCTTTTAAAATCACCTCCTTCCTCTGTTGCCTACTGGGGATGACTGCTGTACATCATTCACAAGAAGACATCACTACGGTAGAATAAAACCACCAGAACACTTATGAAGACGGATTCAAGGCCGTCATCGTTAGCCAGTTCGCTATGGTTAAGGAAATAACAAATTTGTTTACAGGGAGGGATTCATCCTCTACAGGTGTTTGCCCCGAACGTGCTGATGTGACTTCAGTAAAGACGACAGATTGATTGCGAACAAATAACTAAAGGACGCTATGTGTTGGTATTTCAACGCCCTCCGATAGACGGTGACAAATAACAACAAAAGGCCTACGGAACCCGCATTACACCATCTGTCTCAGCTGCAATCGACAGCTGGTCGTAAAGGTCGTCCACTTATGAATAATCGGGTCAAAATATTGATTAAGCGAAAACACTGGACTGACAAACCAATTATTGCACACACACAGTGGGGCGAGTAGTAGAACACGCAGCACAGCGAACGGTACAATAGAACCGAAAGTTAGTGTACTATCCCCCCCACAAATGAGACTGTGGCGAATCAGTATGAGGTAGATCGGAGGATGGAGAAATGATCAGCCGTCACAACAAACCGTGATCGCCTAGATTGTTTCCAAACGGTCAAAACTACTTTTTACGCATCGAAATTACACCACAGCAGAGCAATATGGTCACTCGTTTAATTGTCCAGAACGTGTACTCTGGAAGGGTGTATGCCACTGATCGTGGCTAGATCCCATATTTGTCCGTAATTAAGACTGTAAGGGGATATAGTATTTACCTGAATACAGTATTTCTCCTGAATAAACTCTGAGCGTATTTGACGGTTCGTGGAAAATTCGAAAAGTGATGCGAAACAATCTAGAAGTACCCAAGAGAATATGAATTGGCCGTGATGGTAGCTTCTAGAGGTATGCAGAACACAAATGTGTGACTAACAAAACGAAGTCCAGGGTGCTTTCACAGAGGAAACTACTCACAAGGTTGCTGAAAACTCTTTGACAGCCCACGACTGGTTTCGCTCTTCTGTTTTGGGCTCATCAGGTAGGCGCAGTCCCCGAGTTTCCATCAACCTTATTTTCTACTTGGACATTTTCGACCATTTGACCGTAATTGAATGAAGTGAATCTCGAGAAATACACTCATCTGCAAATCAATTTGGTTTTCACGGGAGACTCAATTGAACCTCTCGTTTATGATGTTCTGCAGCTGAATGTGCTGCACACAGGCCGCCTCATGATTCAGTTGGCACGATATTCGAGATATCGAAGTATATTTTCATAAAGGAAACTACTCACAAGGTTGCTGAAAACTCTTTGACAGCCCACGACCGGTTTCGCCCTTCTTGGGGCTCATCAGGTAGGCGCAGTCCCCGAGTTTCCGTCAACCTTATGATCTACTTGAACCCAAATTGCACTGTTTTCGAGAAATACACTCATCTGCAAATCAATTTGGTTTTCACGGGAGACTCAATTGAATCTCTCGTTTATGATGTTCTCCAGCTGAATGTGCTGCACACAGGCCGCCTCATGATTCAGTTGGCACGATATT